TTAAGTATTTTTAAATAAATTTAATTTTGTGAAGTACTTTGCTAATTAAATATGCAGCTTGTAGTTGGTAAATAGTAATTTAAATAATAGTATTAAAGCGGATTTACTTCTTTTATAAGCTGTACTCAGAAAATATAGTGAGGTTATCTGTCTACCCTCCAGAAATTTTCTTGAACAAAACACACATAGTGGCCCAAAATCAGTTAACCATGTTCTATTTTTGTATGTTCAAGTACACTTGTGAATATAAATGGAATAAAAATGGAGTTTGTTCATTGAACAAGAAGGATATTATTTCGAATAACTTTTCGTAAGGTTTGTAAATAATAAAGTATTAAAATAAATTGCAATTTAGTCTTTACAATGGTTAACTGATTTTTGCCCATTGATTTTTATTTTCATTTTGTGGAGAACATGAAAATGATATACGAAAATAAAAAAAAAGATATACGGGAACAAGTAGAAAGAAATGATTCAAGAAACGAAATACAATAGGGGTTTTTTTTATTAATACAGTGTAATTTTAAAATAGAGAATGCTATAATAGAATTTGCACAGGCGTTAGTCGTTACAGGAGTCCCCACAAAGAATTCCATTCCTGATGCAAACAATATTTACAGGTCGTATCACCATCATGTATTCTGGATGATCGGATGCCGGATTAACAAACTTCTACCGCACTTAAATACCGTATATATTTTATCTTATCTATGAAAAAAATCTTTGAAATAAAATACGATCAGTAAGATCTTATTTTAATACAGAAATCGATCATTAATTTTCATAAATTCAGTTTTTTTTTTCTAAATCATAAAATTGATCTTTCTTCTTCTATAATAAATTTTAAGACAAAAGAATCATAAAAATAACCTTAAGGTGTGAAAAAAAATTGAATTTTCGTTTTACTCAGTAGCCCAAAAGTCAGTTAACCAAGTAAAATGTGAATTGCTCTTACACAAATGCAACAGTATTTAAAACTTTAAAAGATAAGAAGCTTGTTTAATTCACAAATCAGTTGGTATTAGCAAATTCAGTTTACAATTCATATTTACAAATATACTCGAAAAACAGCTTATCAAATGAAAAATTATGAATGTAGGACAAAATTATTTCCAAAAAGGATGACATTACAGGTATAGAATAGAGGGGGTGGTCATTTTTTAAAGTCAAAATGAAGAATATATCCTCCATATTGTATCGAAAAGGAGGACGTTTTGTTATTTTGGAGGACATGTCCTCTTTTTTGACCATTATAAAAACATTGTAAAAACAACTAAACATAGCTAACTTTTGGGCCACACTGTACTTTTAAAGAATTAATGAAAAACAATAAAAGTTGATTTTACATTTTAAAACACAGTGTATAAAATAAATCTATATTATTCAAATTACGTAAGTTAAGACTGTACTTCAATTCGTTGACGAAGCACAGTTTTAACTTATGCAACGTATAATATATATTATTATACATTAACTTACGTAGCGTATGTACTAATAGTAATAATAACCTTTACGAGTTTGAAATTAACTGAAAATTTCTATAATATTTTGAGTAAATTGAGTTAACGTTAATAATTCAAATATTTGAATATAAGTCAAGAGAGGGATTTAGAATGTGAATTATTGTTAATAATAAACAATTTCACAATGTTTAATTACATAAATTAAACATGTTTTAAGTAAAAATTGATGCTGTTTAACATCCAGAATTGAACAATCTTTTAAATCAATAAGATTAATATGGTGTAGAAATCGATTGAAAGCACGTTCGAATTTCATACACAAAGATACAAAATAGGTATTTTAAATATTATAAATAAAAATGTTACTATTTTTCTTATTCAAGTAAATATTTTATTTCATGATTTCAATGTTAATTACGAACGTTGATTGAAAGGAAGCCTTAAAGATACATTAAATTACAATTGGTTCGAATGTAAACAAAGAGTGAAAAACTCACATTTACAATGAATTTCCAGCTATTTATCATTGAATTTTACAGAATTTTATGCATTTATATTTAGATAAAATGCTATATGAAAATTAAGGTAGGTATTTAATAACGTTTATATAATTTAAAACAATGGAAGAAAATTGAAAATAAAAATCCTCCTTTACAACGGAGAATGACTCGCCTACAAATGCAAATCAGTTATGAAGTGTTTCATTTTGTAGTGGATTTAAGTCCTCTACAAATGATTTTGTTTCAATTACTATTAGGAAAAATAGTAAAATCAGTTATTTATGTGCTAATAAAATATTTATATCCGATAAATAAACATCATATATTTAACTTCTACGGCTCTAGAATAATGCATAAACTGGCCATTAATATTTAAACTTCCAAATACTAAGACACTACAAGGGTTGAGAGGTGAAAATCTAATTAATAAAACCAATTTTTTAAACGTTTAAACTTAAATTTTTATAATATTTAGCGTACAAATTAAAGTATAAACACATTTTCGATATTATTAACATTAAAAAAAATTAATATTTATAACACTAAATCAACAACATTATTTAGCTTCTCAACCTTTCCTGTTCTGATCCCCTTTAACATTTCGCTCCCATTATCGAGGATTCTCGATCTACCAGCTGAGATTACAATTTTAGATTTGAAACAATGTTTTAAGAAAAATCTCTGAAATATATGCCAAAAATATACATAAAATTGGATATTTTCTGGAAGGAAAACAAAAATGTGAATTTTCAACAGCTTAAAATCTGAATAATCGATTTTATCAGTAGTAAATTGAAGCCCTACTTTCATCAAATATACATGCAAGCAACTAACTGTATTTGTTGGACATCTGTTCGAATACCACGCAACGACATACATTGCTTAGTATTGATTCCAACAAATTACGTTTAAATATTGTAAATTTGTAGTAGTAGAAGATGGCTTATGTAATTATCTAAGGTCTTTACAATTTGTGGAACAATTCACTCATCTAATAGAGAAATTCGGCCGGAAACTTAAGAATTATAAACGTATCCTCCCTTCTATACCGAATCCTTAGGCCATCATTAAAGTATCCAACCTCATTTTATAAGAAAGTAAAAGCTCTTCAGATACGTTAAAGAAAAGATAAATATTGGAAAGAAACGTTTTTAATGGAGATAAAAGGCTTTTGAAAGTAATAAAGTTGATGCGAAATGCCAACATAAAAGATACATTTAATAAGTTTTATGGAAATATACATTATTTATAATCGTTAAAAAACGTTTTTGATATTCATTCGCAAAAACGTTTCTCAAAAGCTTCACCTTAGGTTCAGAAATAAATAAATAAATTTTTTAAACTCTTCTCGCGATTTTTATCCTCATTTAAAACGTCATTAAATATTATTCACAAGCTTTCTTTCAATAATAAATGTTTTAAAACACACTCGGCAGCTTTTATCTTCACTAAAAATGTTCCTAAACGTATCTCAAGATCTTTGACTTCACTAAAAAAAAAAAAAACGCTTATAAATGGCTCTCAAAAGCTTTAACTTTACTAAAATCGTTTTCAAACACTTCTCAAGAGCTTAACCTTCATTAAAAACGTTTCTCAAGAGCATTATCTCCATTAAAAACATTCTAAAACACTCGAGAACTTTTTCTATAGTAAAAATACATTTTCAACGCTTTTATTTTTACTAAAAACGTCATGAAACGTTTCTCAAGAGCTTTATTTAAAAAGCTGGAATTTTGGGGTTTTATTATTATTATTTTGACCCTTAAAAATGACCAAAAATTTAATTTTTAGACATTATCATAAAAATTTTTAGCACAATTTCAATTTATAAAATTATTTTAACACAAATTAGTCAAATAATATTCAAAAATGTTTTCTAATAACAAAAATTGTAAACAATGGTTGAAAAAAAATTACTTTTATAAATAAATGAATGGAATAAAATTGTATCAAATATTAAATCTTGCTGCCTGGAAAATTATATGAATATTCTAACCGTTGAATAATCAACAATAATCATTTATAAGAGAGAATTAAAATTTTAAAAAATTATTTAAAAATATTGTTTAACTTACAAAATAATAAAAAAAAATGTTTAAAATTCTATAATCCTTTTTTTTTTACTTTAGATTATAAAATAAACGAAAAATGACAAATATTTATTGAAGAAACGTGCGTTAATAATTGAGTTTCCCCCTTTAAGTTTTAAAGATCTTTTAAAAGAATAGTTTTAGAATTTTTTTTTTCTTTAGAGAAATCACCTTTAAATTTTTGTGTTTTTCACGATTTATTTATTACTATTATTATTTATTTATTTCTTGAAGATAAAATAAATGTTAAAAATATTTACCTTATGACTTTTTTTGAATATTTTAAGGATGTATTTTGAATTTTTAGAAGATTTATCTTTAAATTTTTGCACTTTTTTATTGAAGATTTTTAGTTTTTTAAAAAAATCATTCGCATATTTTTTAAAGATTTGTTGAAGTTTTTGAACATTTACTTCGAATATGTTAGTTTTTTTTTTGTAATTTTTAAGATTTATTTTTTTAAGGTTTCTTTGATACATTTTAAACTTTTTGAAGAGTTTAAAAGTTTTAATTCATTATTTAAATTCAGCAATTAAATTTAGAATTAAAAAAATGAGAAAATAAAAGTATTTTACGTAACCTTTAAAATACCTTCGAGACATGAACAGAATCAAATCATCTTTTTTTAAAATAATTGAGTAATTTTTAGAGATTAAAAAAAAAACATATTTAAGACGTTTATGGATTGTTTATATCAAAGTTTAAAGGAAAAAACTGCGAAAAAAATCCAGCAGAAAAGCAAGATTCATTCACCTGTCAAATGCAGAAGAGAAATCACCTGATAGACTCTTATCGTTGCATTATTGCTAAGTGAAAAGTTACTTTAGATATGATTTATAGATAAAATATAAACACGTTTCAAAAAAAATCAAAGGAAAATAAAGTGATAACTTTTATAAAACTCGAAAAAAGTAAGAAAATAGCAAATAAGTAAGATAATAACTTACAGTAAGTGTCTTCCACCAACTTGTTGACGGTCTCCTTCTTCAACTTGCTTCCACCTTTCCCCATAACACAAAATAAAAAAGAAGTTTTCTGCAGATCCTATTCGACTCTTCTTCCTCGTAGACTTGTTTGCCTTCAGTATGTTGCCATGGTAACTGCTTAACCCACCCTGGTGGATAGAATTGGTGGCTTTTACATCCTTACCATGTTAGTATCAATTGTGATAAATGGGGAAATTTTAGTTAGGTTTCTTTTTTAGTTAAACATTCATTAATTTAATGTGATAAATATTTTAACAGAGCGATAAAAAATTGAAAAAAGTTTTATTAATTTAGCAGGTGTTAAAGGAGATAAATTAAAAGAAGTGATCATTAATTCTAAAGTGGTAAAGTATTTATGTATTGATATAACAATTGGTGCCTTTTGGGTATAAATATAAAATAATTATTAATTTTAATGATAATTATTTTATATTTAAAAATAATATTTTATCGTAAAATGCGTTTAAGTTCAGAAATTTACAAAGGTTATCCCCCCTTGTAGGGTTCTGTGTTGCATAATAGTTATTGGATCCTGTTGAGAATGTTATTGAATCCTTTGCGACTGCTTTAGAGAATCATCGGGTGGATGTCGGGTTTGCTGGTTCCCACCCTTCAACTTCGGTCGACAGCGTCACGATAGTTGTTTCAAGTATTAGTATTGGATTATCTCATCACAATTCACTAAGAATATACTTATTATAAAGTTAACTTTCTTAATATTTTTGAACGTTTATGAATTGTAACAACGAAAAATTTACTTGTTATATTCTCTGGCAAAACACTAATCACAATTTCTAATGTTAATTGATCAAAAATGTTCGGAAACAATGATAGAACTATCGTCAGAAAATTTTGTGTTATGTGAAGTTATACGGTAAGCATTTTGTATTCTTTACAACTCCACAACTTGCTTTTTCGTAAATTTTGTGTTAATAGTAAAGAAAATATGCTAGTTATTAAATACAGTAAACCTTCGCTTTTACAATCTAATCGGATCCTGAGAAATAATAATTAGCCTAATCGGGTCTTTATAAATTTAACTTTTACTGCTCTCAAGTTTAAAAATAAAAGTTTAAATTACATAATAACACTACGCCAAAATGTCCAACAAAAATTATGATACTTAAGTGTGGAATTCCATGCAAGAAAACCAAAAAATTTGAATCCGAATTTGCATAAAATGGAAATTTTAAAACGAGAAGACGTAAAACGGGAATCTATTTTTAGGTTATAATTTTAATTTCAAACCTTATTGTTTTATTAATTTTCATAACAAAATCCAATAGTACAGCACCAGATATATCCGTCGATATATTTCTGTTAAAATCTCCTTCAAACTCATTCCATCACGACGACACATATCAATACACACGCTATTATGCAGCGTTTTGAATCGCCATTGAAAAAATTATTTTTTCCAAGTTTGGACTAAATATTGGAGGAAAATCACCAACAAAAAACTTAAAATACGAAGGTAGACGAGGAGACAGAATGAGGAAATGTTCAGTTGTAAAGAAAGTCACCGTATGCCGTAATCATGGATATCAATCGGCTTTTGTTATCTTAATCAGGCGATCCCAAAATACTACAAAAAATTAGTTAAAAATAATCGGCCTATTGTAATCAAACTTCGGCTATTGTTATCAATTGTGAAAATTATACTGAAAGAAAACGATACGAATTCTTAAAGAATTCGAACTACCGTAAATGTACCTTTACTTCAAACTTACTTTTAACCGAAGTATATCTTTTACCTTGTATATATTATGCGCATTACAAGAATTTTTAGAAAATATGTAATTAGATTTTTTTCCTGAAGCGTACTCTTTATCTTTACAAAACATATTCTTGCAGTGAGTGGAGATAAACACGTACGCCTATTGCGATTTCTCTAGTTGGACTGAAATTTTCAAATTGCAGACCTATAAATTCTTACTATCGTCCGTCTGTCCGTCTTTCGTTAATCTAGAGAACGGAGTTAGATAAAAATCGAGACCATATACGAAAAGCTTAGGGGCAGGAGGCCTGGATTAATTTTTAAATTAGAACATGATTAAAAATTGCAGCACGATGCTACAGTAGTTAAAATTTTTTAACTTTGTGATCAGACGAATTAAGAAGACTGTATAAAGTACTCTTTAAAAGAATCTCTTTGGATCATGGCAGAAGCGAAGGAAAAGCATCGAGATTTTTCTTCAAAAAAGCAAAGAATTTTAGAATTACTACGATAAGAACAAGTCAATGTAGTGCTGTGTATTTAAAACTTTCATAACTACTCCTGCGTAAGATCACAAAGAAAACAGATCAAACATAGAAATTTCTTTACTTCTCTAATAAGATCAGGGATCAGAAGACAGAGCGATCTGGAAAGGACAGTCAAGCTGAATCAGCATTAAAAATTTGGTTTAGTCATGTTTTTGAAAAGAATGCTCTAGTTAATGGATCTATTTTATTTCAAAAAGCAGAATTAGCAAAAACTACGGGCAAAGATTTCATTGCAACTGATGCATAGTTCAATAAGTAGAAAAAGCGAGTGAATACCATATATAAACGTCTTCATGGTAAAGGGAAAAGGGTGCCGATTTATTTTCAGATAACGAGTGGCTAAAGACGGAGTAGCCAAAAATTATTGCTGAATATTCTCTCCAGGATATTTATAATACAGATGAAAATGAATTCTATTTTCGCGCAATGCCTAAGCGCACTTATTTTTTAAAATGAAAATTAAATTTTGGAAAGAACGAGCGACAGTTCTTTGTTGCGTTAATATAATAGGTGAATAACGAGACCTTCTGGTGACTGGAAAAAGCAAAAACCTTTAGTGTTTTAAAGGTATCAAAAGTTTGCCTGTTGATTACCTTTCTAGTGCAAATGTTTGGATGACAAATGTAATTTTCAACAATTTGTTAATTAAGTGGGATCGTAATTAGAGCGAAAAATCGTCTTGTTAATAAACAACTCCATGACACACAATTTGTCGTTAAAAACATCAAAATTATCTTCTTACCCTCGTTAATTCAGCCATGTGGCTAAGGTATCTTATCAATTTTAAAAACTTATTACCACAGGTAAATTAATGAGCAAATTACAGCTGAACTTGATAAAATTCAAGATAAATCACATGCAAGCGCAACTGAAAAAAAAGATTCCCTTCTTGATGCATTGCATTTGCTAGAAGTGTCTTGGAAGCAAGTCTCAGATAAAATCATCGAAAGCTGCTTACGAAAAAGCGAATTTTCTAAAATGATGAAACTCGTCTTCCGAAGAACCTGACCTTACAGCTGAAATCTGCAAAAAAGTTTCAGACAATATGTCTAAAGACGAATTTGAAATTAGGTGGATATATAGATAGCAATTAGATTTCTTTAACGGGATCGCAAAGTAAGGTTTACATAAGCCGACCACTAGAGCCTGACCGGAAATTGTCCCATAATAAAAGGAGAGGACTTCATAGTATTAACTTGGAGCCCACCGGTGGTCGAGTGGACTCTGTCTTCGCTTAATAGTGGTGACCAGACCCTAAACACCGGAGTTCGATCAGGGATTCGCGCCTCACTCAGACGAGCTGGCAGTGGGAGTTTTTCCGGGTTTTCCTCCTTGCCAATGACGCCTGAATAGGGGCCAGCTTCCCCCAAGTCCTCCCGGAAGGCATTCTGTCTCCCTTTTTCGTGGGGGTCGTCACTTATAAGACCGGCTTTGGTCACTTCGTGACCTCTCTCCTGTCTTCTCGGATTGGTCGTCTTTGATAAGACCGCCTTTTCGGTCGCTGTGCGATCGGCCCCACTGTTTCTTCCGGAGTGAAAAGCGACAAGCTGCAGCACTCCTCTATCAAAAGGTTGAAGTGAAGTATTAACTCAGCTATATATATAAAATATAATGTCTGTCTGTTTCCCATAAACTTCTAAACTCTTTGACTAATCTGTAACAAATTTTTTATAGTTATTTTTTAGGACCGTATTTGAATGCCATCAGTTTAATTCTAATCATCCTATATATTTGAATATTTAAGTTCTCAATGAATAACTACTCATTGAGAACTTAAATAGTTATTCGAATTCTATTTGTCATACGGATGCAGAAAATCATTCTGTCTGAAAGCAGAAATTCCATCCCATTTCGGCAACTTAAGTTAAGACGAGGAAGACAGAAGGCTCTGTATTCAAATAAATCTCTATCTTTATGCAAATCTGCTAGTAATTTAGTACTCGTTAATTTATTAGATACATCGAGGTTTTTTCCCTGAAAAATTACAGATTATTATTAATTCGTAAGCAAAACTGATCAGTTTTGCAAACTCCAATTTATACTGCTTATGTTATGAAATCAAATGAGATCTAGCAAGATATTTCATTCATTATATAGAGATCCACGAAAATAATTCTTGAAATAGCTCTAAGATTTATTCATAAAATGTGTTTTATTATTTCACTGAAGGGCATGTTTTTGATTATAATATTTTGACCAGAAGTGTAGTTCATTCATTGAAAAATTATTGTGTACAAGTTGTTTTCTTTATTCCTTGTAACTCATTTTTAATTACTATCTGCAAAAATAAATTTTGTTTACAATTTCCTTCGATAAATTCATGCTCCGTAATAATATCAAAATTTTGAATTTCGGAAAAGAGGAGGAGGAAGATAGACAGCTTTATACAATGGAATGGGCGTAGGTTTTCGTTTTATCATGAAAGTTTCTATTGCATTTTCAGAAACAATGTAAAAGAGATCAGCTACTTTGCATATTAAATTTCAAAATTCAATATTTTGATTTTAATTACCGAAACAAAATATAATTCATCTCACATCTACGATATGTAAGATGATTTAATCAAATATTTCCTTGTGAAATTTCTAATTTAAGATTTAAATTATTATCTTTAAATTATTATTTATTATTTGAAGACCGAAAATTTAGACTGCGGTGACAATACCCAAAATACAGTAATAAAAACATTTATAAATTTAAATTCGATTGATATTTACGACTAGAAAGTTACTTATCATCATTCTTCGGAAAATATTTTTTAATTAAAAATTTCATATAAAGTAGTCATAAATGTACTTGGTGATTATAATTAAAGTTGTCCTATTCAGAGGACTACGTAGCTCCAACCAATATGCCAATTGACACCAAAATGTGTGTACACGCTATTGAAAAGACGCAGAAAGGATTTTGTAAAGAAAAATTTTAGTTCCAAAATTGTCCGATACAGGATAAATGGCGCTGCAAAACAAAACAGAAACACAATGATAAAGCATTAATTCGTTTCTATGTGAACATACCGGTACTTGTTGACAGATTGTTTAGCAATGCAGGGAATATTGTTTAATGTATTCCCCATTGTTAAGGTGTAAAATTTGAAGACTCGTCCCTGTGCCTGGTTGAACTAAGGATCTAGTTGTCTCAAATCGCGTTATCATTCTTCTGGCAGTCTGTGGAGACATTTGTCCGCAGCGTAAGTTCTTACGACGACAATATACGCAAATGCAGTCGCAGCATTACCTTGATTTTCGTAAAAAAGCTTCAAAATTAATGTACGCTTCGGCGAAGTAATGGTAGT